GGAGGGAGGGAGGGAGGAAGGGAGGGAGGGAGGAAAGGAAGATGTAACATCTTAAGGTAGCTGCTATCTCTGATGCATGGGGAACACTAGGGAATGGTGAAACTCAAGAATCTGCAGGTAGCACTTGCAAATGATGATGAGCTTACAGATGATGACAGTCTGTTTCAGCCAAGTGATGGCACTGACCTGTAATCCCAGTACTTGGGAAGCAGAGGCAGGAGAATTGCTGCCAGTTCAAAGCCAACTTGGTCTACAGAGCCAATTCTAGACCAGCCAGGGCTATAGAGTGAGACCCTGTCTCAAAAAAAAAAAAAAAAAAAAAAAAGAAGTAGCTCAGGGATGGAGCACTTCTTGCCGGCATACAAAGGCCATCATTCAGTCCTTAGCACCCGGAGGGGGTCAGGCATGATGGTAACAGACCTTGAATGGCGGGTCCAAGACACGTGAATGTACTCCTTTAGGCTGAGCCAGAATGTTTTGTGTGTTCAAAAGATCTTGCTGGAAGAGTACAGAGAGCTTGCCTCTCGGATCTTCCTGGGGTAAATTAGGCATCTTGGAGAGAAGCCATTCACATTGTCACTGTGTGTCACACTCTCTTTCCAGAGCTCACCTGGCCACAATGCCTAGCATGGTGCCTGATTCAAGTGTTGGTTTAGGCTGTTTATAAAATGGAAGTTTCATAAACGGAAGACTGAGTGAGGAAATACATTTGGGGCTGTAGAGGGGCAATGTTATTATACAGTCAGGCGGGAGATGATGAGAACATGAACAAATTGGAGGGAACAGAGAGAAAAGGATCCATTTGAGGAGTGTTTGGTTTTAGTTGCAGATGAGCGCTAGGGAAGAAGACTGTGGTGCTCACATATGTCCAAGGTCAGTTCTGAAGCCTGTGGGACAGTCAGTTGGAAACACCTGGCACGAAGCATCCAAGGCACACAGGGAAAAAGAGGTCTGAGTTAGAGACATGGACTTAGAAGTCAGCGGTAGCCCGGCACGGAGATGCGCCTTTGTGATTCCATCCTCAAGAGTCTGAGGCAGGAGGTCCATGAGGAGTTCAGACCAGCCTGGACTACATAGAAACTTAGCCTGGGCTATAAAGTAAGACTTTGTCTTGGGGTGGGGAAGGGAGGGAGAGAATGTACGCACAGCATGTAGCTGAAAAGTCGTTGAAGGCTTGAACATGAATGAGACCAAAGGAAGAGGCGCGTGGTCCCTGGACAGAAGCGGAGGATAGCACTGTGGCATTTTTCCGCACTCTTCCCAACTCCGGCTTCATCTTCAGACTCTAGCACTCCATAACTATAGTTGCAGGGTCCTAAGACATGCTTCAGACTCTGCCTTTGGACTGGCCAGGTAGCTTGTTGGGGCTCCCTCTTGGGTTCTCTGCTACCAGCTACTGATGGGCTTCTTGCTGCTTCTGTCTTTCCATCTTTAAATTACAGCTCCCTGCCAACCTACCGTAGTATGCTGTGTGAGGGTACATGAGTGAACCTCTGGCTCTGCACCCTGAAACCCAGAATTCTGCTTCCTTCCTTCCGATGTTTTTCGGCGCACTATTAATTTTCTCCTCACCCCCTAGCATCCTGAAACTGGGGCTCTGCCCTGACTTACAGACCCTCCAGCCTCAACCTAATGAAGCCTGTACCTTATTCTACCACTAGATGGAAGCAAATGAGATCACAGACAGTCCTCAGGCCACCAAGGATGCAGAGAACCGCCCTTCTTTAAAGGACCCTTCTGCAGAAGACTTGCGGGAGCCCACTAGCCTGGAAACTGAAACTTCCGCAGATCTTTCCAGCTCACAGACCTCTTTGCAGCTTCCTGTCTACGATGCCCTTTTTGTGACATCCACTCCGCCAAATCCTGAGACTGAGGCCTCTGAGAGCCTCTTGGAGCCACCTGACTCTGAAACTCCCTTAAAGTCCCATACCACTGAGATTCTTTCCACACCATCCCAGGTTTCCTTCGAGGCCCCAGCCTTTGAAACTCTCTCAAAGTCTCCCCAGTCTGTGGCCTCTCTAGAAAAAGCCATCACCAAGATCCCTTTGGAGAGCCTTACAGATGAGATTCACAGCTCTAAGGTCAAAAAAAAGTCTCTTAAGCTCTCACCAGAACTCAATCTCCCTGGATCTCCCCATAAGCTTTCTTCTGCTAAAGGCCCAGAGACCCAGGTCCCTGGATCTGAACACATCCCCAAGCACTCCCTTTCAGGACCATCCAGCCAGGCCCCTGCGGATATAGAACCGGCTGCAAAGCAGGAGGAAGCAAGGGAAGAGGAGCCAATAGTGGGGACCAGTACCATCTCTGCTCCTGCAGCCAAGCCCGAGTCTAGTGTGAGCAAGAAGGAGAAAAGAATTAGCGGTAATTGTTCCTGCCTTTCTTCTGTCCCTGTGACTCTTGCACTGCCCGTGACTTACCCAGAAGTGGGGGTCCGGGTTATTCTTGCATATGACTCCTCTTAGTTTTAAGGTCCTTTCACTGCCCACTGGTTACTCAGCCCCTCCCTTCCCAGGTTACACAAGCCGCCCAGTGGTCCCTGCTAAGCGGGCAGAGCTGGTGGATGTGGCTAAGGCAATGCACAGAGAACATTTTGGTACTCAAGTGGAGTATCTTTTCCAATGGGAGAAGGATTCAGCCCTGAAGGCCATCCAGACAGGTGAGCCCTGGTGGCCTTCCAGAGACCTGTAACAGGCCTATGGACAACTTCCAATCCAACAGATTTGGGAACCTTCCCCTTCAACGTAGACATGGCCATGCCACCTGGGTGGAATCTAGAATGGGAGCAGGTGGGTTGGCCTGAGGAAAAGTGGAGATTGCACGTGAAGTCCAAGCAGCAATAGATAGTAACTAATATTGTTAGCAACCGAAGAGTTGAGGGCCAGCCCCAGATCTAACACCCACATAATCTATACCAGAACAATCCTAATGCAGAGTGGCCCCAGGACCTTGGCCAGTTTCTAGGAGCCTTGTTCTCAAACGGATATGGCAAAAGATTGTGGTCCCTTTACTCCATTGATGTATGGATCTGCATGCCAGATCCATGACCATCTGAGTATCCAAAGGCCTTGAGGGTCCCCACTAAAGAGGAGTTCAAGCCACTGCTCATAATCCATATCCCCCTTTGACGAGGTCTCATGTGGTCCAGGCCGTGACCCTAGCCTCAAACTTCCTATACAATCATTGATGACCTTTAAGGATAACCTTGAACTCCTGATCCTCCTACTTCTGCTTCCTGAACGCTAGGGTCACATGTGTGTGCCCCCACAGCTGGTTTTACATGGTGCTGGGGTTTTGTGTATGCTAGGCAAGCACCCTCCCCCCGAGCTATGCCAAGAGGTAGTCCTGTGAGGGGAAGCTGCATCTCTGAAATGGGTGTGCAGGTGAGCTGTGTAAACACATGGCACAGTGTGTGTAAGCATGTTTACCTGTGTTGTGTATTTCACCATCTATAAGGATTCTTAATCTCAGTAGGACAGCCACTCAGATACTCTAGGATTCTGAACTGTGTAGATAAATTCAGTAGAAAGCATTGTGTTTGCTCAGGTTTTTCAACCTTCTGTTCTGCTTATAATGGAACTACATCAACAGGACTAAGAGATAAAGACAACTAGAAACCCCTACACTCTTATCCTCCTTTATGTAATTTGCACACCCCACCTCCATGTAGGGATCCTCGCCCCTTCATCTCTATTTTTTTTTAAAGTCTCATTTGTTTCTGAGTTTCCACTGATAGTGAAATCTGTCTAGTTATGCTAACATCTATTACTGATACTTTTGTCTTGCAAATGTAGGTTCTGTCCACTCCCCTCTTTCCTCTTTTAGATCCCCCTGTCCACTCCTCGCTCTTCAAGACCTCTGTGTTTCTTCTTTGTTTTAAATGTCTGTGTTTTCCTGCTTAAGCAAGTGGTTTGTGTACTCAGTCCTGCACAAAGATATTTGGGGTCCTTATCCTTCCAATGTTGAAGATCTTGAGTCAAGACTCCCTAAGAATCTTGCAGATTCTGAGGTTTCCAAATATTCTTTCAGCAAACAGTTATTATGCACCAACTATTTGCCAGACATTGAGTTTTAGTTGTGCAAGCAGTGGGGCAAGAAAAGTCTCAAGGATAAAACTTGTCCTCCAATTGCACAGTGAAGCCCTGCCTCAAAAAAATAAATAGCAAAGATCCCTCAACCAACGTGTATGAGTCCCCGCAGAGACAGAGGAAAGAGGCCCCCAGCTGGGGAGCTAGACATAGGCATGGGAAGGAAAGACTGCTGGAGCTAATGTCTATGAGAGGGTAAGAAGAAAGAGCCAAGCTGGGTGTAGTGGCGCACAACTATGATCTCAGCCCTTGGAAGGCTGAGGCAGGAGGATTACAAGTTTTTGGCTTGTCTGAATGAAGTGAGAACAGATGTGGGGCACATAGAAACCTGGTGAGCTGAGGACGAAGGTTGAGAGATTTTAAGGTGAACACTGGGTGTTGAGTGGAACATGCTGGTGAGAATGTCATCAACAGACGGCCCTGTGATCCAGGCCTAGGAGAGGTCAAGGATACAGAGGTATCCCTCATGTAAAGACAACTTATGTAGTATGGAAACCTTCTAGAAATCAAGAGTTGATATACAAGCACGGCCATGCAGCTGTACTGAGTCAGAATGGCACCCAAGGTAATGCCTCCTCTGCCTGCTTAGGCCACTTCTGACAGGAAGGGAGTTTGGAATCAGAGAATGGAGCCCAGAGCTGGGTGCAGTTTCCCTACTTTAAGGACATAGAATAGAATAGAATAGAATAGAATAGAATAGAATAGAATAGAATAGAATAGAATAGAATAGGGTAGGGTAGGGTAGGGTAGGGTAGGGTAGGGTAGGGTAGGGTAGGGTAGGGTAGGGTAGAGTAGAATAGAGTAATAGAATCTGAGGTATTCTTCATTCGAAGCTAGACACTGATTCGCGCATCCATGCTTAAACTGGTTAAGCGTTGGTCTTCAGGCAGACCCAGGTTCACGTCTGCACATCACCTGCCCAGCCACTGTGTTCGGCTTTTGTAGCGTTCAGAATTCCTCTAGTGCGGTCCTGGCTCCCACCCACTCATTGTGACTTTGCTTCTCCCTGTGCTCTCAAACATTCCGGGTACAGCAGGATCCTAGCACCAGAAGCAGCCAAGCCACAGCCACACCAGAACAGGTTTTAAGACCCTAGGAACTATGGGTAAGATAAGAACACCCAGCCTGAGGACAGACCTGCGGATTATGGCTAAAGGAACATGTTCGCTTTCAATCAGGCAGTCTGTCTTCTCTGACATCTCTTTCATGGCAGGATTAGAGATATGGATGAAAATACAACCGCTTCTCTTGTGGGGAAGCCAGGGATAACTTTTAGAAGAGGTGACATTTCTGTTGAGACCGCTGCCAGGCATCAGGGTCCCACAAGGACGCAAGCAAGGTTCTGAACCAAAACTGGAATACTCTCTGCTCTTCTGAGGAATGAGAGGATGAGCAGGAGGTGCTGCCCGTTCTCCCGTCACCTCTGCCTAGCCCTGCCTTGACTTGCGATAGGACTTTCTGTGAAGCAGGATTCTTTCAGACCCCACTGCTAAACCCAGGCTCTGGTTGCGGCCTGCTAAGCCTGAGTCTGAGGGTACTAGCCTCACTCTCCTTCCCATATCCACCTTCCAGTCCTCACAACTTAGATCCTTTGGTCTTCCAGCCATGACTTCTGGCCTGCTCCTTCCTCCTGATCCTGGAGAGCCACCAGGCATCCTTCTCAGGATCATAGAGGGCGTTAGTTACATAACACTAGGACACAGAAGGGATGACAGAGGCGGCAGCCCGGAGAGTAAAAGCGCTGGCTTCCTCCTACCTCTTGGCACCAGATCTGTCCAACTTCCACCTTTTCTCCCGGGTCCTTCACTAGTAACTCTCTTCAGGACCCAATCCCCATCACCCACTGTCCACCTGATCATCTAGCTTCTCTCTTGCTCGCCGTAAACACTTCAGAAAGGTTGGACTCGCATGGAGAGGGGAGGTAAGACAGCTTTAACAATCACCAGGGGCTCTCGTTCATCTTCAAACAGTGTCATCTGTAACCCGCCTGCTCTGAAACTGGAGACTGCCTTTGGTTATCTCGGTTAGGCTGACGAACATGGGGCCCATCCTGGGATAGGAAGGGAACTGACAAAACTTTGGGATAGATAATAAAACTTTAATGAAAAAAGTCTAAGGGCCAGAGGGAGGGCTCCCTAGTGGAAACAGGTATAAGGTGTGGTGGTGAGGAGGCCATCAGAACACTTGTAGGGAGTGTAGGATGTTTTTTTTTCTTTTTCACTCTTCCCTGTTAATCCCTCCATATGTAGGTCTTTACATTGGCTGGCGCTGCCCTCATTACCTATGGGACTGTTTCCGGATTGGAGACGAGTCCAGGTGCTTTTGTGGACATTTGTTGAAAGAACACCAGATCATCTCAGGTAGGAAAGAAGTTGCCAGACTCGTCGAGGATGGAGGGGTTACGGTAGCCTTTGATGTCTTGGAGGGAGAGACAGAGATGATCAGGGAGGATCTGCAGAGGGGGAACGGGTCCTTCCAGGTGCTGGTCTGATGCCATGCCTCGCCTTCCCCATTCTCCCAGATCTGTCGGTGCCCTGCCGCATGAGCCAGTGCAGGTGCCTCATGTTTTGTTTCATCCCATCACGCCCAGAGGAGGTGGGTGAGTTCTGGCTTAAGAGACGGGCCACCTTCGACCCCAAAGCATGGAGAGCCCAGTGTCGCTGTAAGCATACTCATGAAGAACATGCAGCCACCGGAGCGCATCCCTGCAGGCACCGCGGTAACTTCTAGTGCCAAGGGGTGTTCGGGTGGGGAGAAGCAGATGCAGGATGAAGAAGAGGCAAGAATGTGTCAGCTCGTGGGGATGCCATTGATTTCTTATATTCTTCTTGGTGTGCTTTTGCCTTAGGCTGTGGCTGCAACAGTTTTGAGTCAAATTTCCTCTGTGCGGCCTGTGACCGGCGCTGGGAGGAACACGAGACTTTCTTTGAGACTGAGGAGACCAGGCGAAGAGGAGGGAGACCTTATGGTGAGGGAACAACACGGGGCAGGGGATCTTGTCAGCATCTGTAATCAGAAGGGCAGGCAGAAAGGTATGCCCACCCTTCCCTCATCCTCTCCAGGCCTTCCATCTTCAGCCCACCCCACATCCCATGCCTGCACTGCTTTCCATCCCCAGGAGCAGACTATGTGCCTTTTGCAGAGATGCCTGCCCTCCGAGATGTCATCCTCACCAACTCTGACCTTGAGGCCCTCCAGATGCAGGGGGTCTCTGGCCATCCCAGTTCCCACCCTAGATCCCTTGAACTCCCTGGCTCAAGTAGCCTCCAGCCTGACCCTAAATCTGACCCCCATACCTGATTCTTTCACCTCTGCTCTTCCCTCCTGCAGGGGCAGACACTGTCAACAACTGGCACAGGCCTTTCTGAGCCTGGCCAAGATCAACAATAAAATGGAAGCCAAAAGACTCTGACCTGGCTCTATATGGGACAGGTAGCGTCAAGACTCAATTTATAGTCAGCTCTAACTGCAGGCCAGAGACAGCATCAAGCCACTGGCCTGACTCACTAGGAGAAGAGCTTCAAGAAAGCCAAGGGGGGAGAGTGTTTGAAGAGTAGAATAGCCAGTGATTTCAGGGGTAGCTGGGGCTCCATAAGGCAAAGACATTGCAATTAGTAAGTCTTTGGAGGCTTTGGACTATGGTTTCACACTGGCATGGTGGAGGTAAACGCTAAATATTAATATGAAGGTGTCTCTTCAAGGAGCTTGGGTAAGAAGTAGAAGAAAGAAATCAGACAAAACCCAGGCTGTAGATCAAGGAAGCAACTTTTTAAGACAGAAAGGGGGAAGAGGCCCACATGCAAAAAGATCTTGAAGGATGCAAAAGTGAGGAGAGATGCTTGGTGGGACAAGATCTCAGACATGGAGAAAAAGGAGCATGAGTTCAAGGCAGAGGTGAAGGTATTTGCTCTGATGCAGAGAAATTTCATCTTAAGACAAAGAAGAGAATATGAGCTGCAGGGAGTAGGGCCTCCTAAAGCTCCCCTCTGGAGACATCTGTATTCTCTGTGAAGCAAGCAAGGGATTAGTGGGCAGTAGGGACTGGAAGAGAAAGGTGAGCTCTGGGGAAGGCTGATGTGGGGAGTCAGAGATCATGGCAAGTGCATGGTCTAGGATTTAGTGTGGCTGGAAGTGAGACTCCGGTTGGAGAAGAGGCTAAACTATTTAGACTAATGGGTGCTGATGGATAGTGAGAAGCAGGCAGAGGAACAGGCCTGACGTGAAGGGATGTCATAGACGGGGACGTGATGCCAGGCAACAGCTGCTTTCAAAGGAATAAGGGCTCTCGAGTGCAACAAGGAGACGGTGGGCGGGGTCGGCAAAGCTAGCAACTTTCAGAGAGCAGCTGCAGGTGACGACAAGTGTGTGGAATAAGGAGGAATAAGCCAGTGTCAAATTGTGACTGCAAGGGAGTGGCAGAACTCCATAGGCGATCTTATGGCCCTACGACAGTTTGACACTGCTGGGCTTTGTGATGCTCAGTTCACTCTTTGGGCCTCGGTGGCCAGATCTGTAAGACAGGAATAACCAGTGTTGCCTGCACTCTGTGAAACCCAAAGGAAGATCCAGCTGCAAAACTTAGTGCTCCCTAGAATCCCATCCTCTTCTCACCCCAGCTCCTCTTACCCCTTGCCCTTCTCTGGTGCAGTTTTCAAGTCTCACATCTAGGCCTCAGGGGCAAGGTGATAATACATTTCCTGATATTTAGAAAGGCCATCTGTCTTTGCAAAAGAAAGGATGGTCTTCTAAGACCCCAGGGAAAAAAATCATAGGATCCCATATCAACCCTGGGAAGAAGAAAGGGCTTTCTAATAATATAACTGTGTAAAAGAGAGTGTGCCAATTCCAGAAGTTTCTCAACACTGGTTGTATGTGCTGTGATAAATGTATAAAAATATTCAATTAATTAATCATTGGAGACACAGTATGAATTCATTGCAAAGTATATAAACTATACTAATTTGAAAAATGTAAGAATAATAAATGTGCAATTCATTACTATATATAAAAAAGTAGAACAGTAAAACACCAACTATTTAATAATTATTGAACATTTATATACCAGGCCGCATGTTAAAAACAAAACAGCCTCTAAATATATAAGGGTAACTTACACTATTGTGCCAAACCAGAACTTACCAGGTGGTGAGTATTTGAGGGGATACTGATGTATTTTGAGATTGAGTCTTGCTATGTAGACCAGGCTATCCTGGAACTCTCGAGTGATCCTTCTGCCTCTGCCTGTCAAGTGGAAATACCATATTTCTTCTTTCAAATAATAAGGAAATGAAGAGATGGTTCAATGCTTAGGAAAGTTTCCTGCTCTTAAAGTACGGAAACTTGATTCACATCTGGTGGCTCACAACCACCTGTATGTAACTCCAGCTCTGTGGAATCTGACACCCTCTTGGAGGCCTCTGCAGGCACCCGCGCAGACTTGCACATATACCCACACACATACACATAAATCTTTAGGTGCTGAAGAGATGGCTAAGCAGCTAAAGGCACATACCGTAGCTCTTGGGGAGCACTGGAACTCAGCTACCAGCACCCACATCAAGAGGTTTCCAAAAGCAAGTATTCCAGCTCCAGCCCAGTCTGTGCCTCCTCAGCACCTATGGACACCTGCACTGGACATGCACACACCTCACAGGCAGAAACATAGACACAGTTTTAAAGAATGTGTATATACAAAGCAAACCTGTCTCACTGCCTCACAGAGTTAACGGCACCACACGCCACTTATGAAGTGAAAAAAAATGTAATACATAGTACAGCATTCATAGGATGCGCCTACCCTCACCTGTTTAAGGGAGAAAAAAAATGCCCTGAAAACTGACTGCGATGTGCGAGCGAGAACATAAAACTGACCAAAATTTTAAAAAAATCTTAAATATGTTTTAAATCTTTGACGTGGTCAAAGGACTGAAATGGACAGAAAAGGTTAGGTACCTATTCTACAGATTAAAACCTAGCCTACAGATTAAAAAAACTTGGTCCCAATTCACTTTTAGCTCCGCCCATGTGACTTCTGGAGCCAATAAGCTCTGAATGTCCTCAGAACCCCGCCCTCCTGGCCAATGCGGAGAAGGGTCTGCACTACGTTTAGCCTTTTGTACGGCAGGTGGCGAGGTCCCGCCCCACCCCCCACCCCCCCCGCCAGTGGGGGCCAGAGCTAAAAAGGACAGGCCGAAAGCGGGCAAGTCCCACCCATTCAGGAGCCTCAACCAAAGCTTGGTCAAGGTGGTGAACCTGAGCCCATTAGCAAAAAAATCCCACCCCCATATTTAGTTCTTCCAATGGAGTGGGAATGAATCTCAGAGCGAAACTAAGCGGGGATCCAATCGAAAAAGAATTTTCATGCCACTAAACAAAAATTGGTCCTGCTTTAGCAGGGGCAGCCAATGAGCTGCACGGAGGGACCCGCCCCCAGGCGGACGCGGCCAATGGGCTGCACCCGCAAGGCCGCAGGCTCCGGGAAGATGGCTGCTGCCGTGCTGCTGGCAGTGGGTTTGCGCACCGCGCGCAGAGCCCTGGCGGCCGCGGGGCCCCGGGGGGCGCAGGTGAGAAGCAATCAGAGGGATCTGGGGGCTCGTAGGCACTGGCGCGTTCCGGGACCAGCACGCGCGTCGCGCATCATTGCGGAGTTACTCTCCCAAGGGTCAATTTCAGGGACTCTGCGGTCGAGTCCGCGAGAGAAGCGGTCTCGCGGCGACCGCTTCCCCGAACAGCCGGGGCTTCCCGGTTGGGACTGAGCTGGTAGTGTTGGCCCGGAGCGTGCTTCGGCCTGCCTCTGCTGTGCCTACTCCAGGAAGTGAGCTCTCCTTCGGGAGCTAGCCTGTTCTCGGATCTCTAGCCCTACAATGCGCGTCAGCAATGCTCTTTGATCTTCCACACATTCCAACAGTGATTCAGTATATATCCCACAGTTTCGCTTCAGTGTAACGCCCTGATACCGGCCTTCTCCAAACCGGTGAGAAACTGGGATAGCCCCTGCCTCCTATCCCCTCTGACAGACCCGAGATCACGTAGCTGAACTCTTACATGACTCCGCTGATTCACATTACTGGAATTAAAATCCAGTGAAAGAAGCGGAGCATGGTGGCACATGACGGTAATCCCAGCATTTAGGAGTCTGAGGAGGCAGGGCTACCCCCTGGCCTGCGTAGCAACAACAGCTGCACAATAAGAATCAAATGTGACACCCAAATGAGAGATCGGCCAATGTCAGATAGGACAAATACACTTAAAACATAAATCAAGAAGCAAGGCTTAAAGATCAGAAAACGCACAGTAGAACTAAGTGGAAACAAGGTAAAGAGCTTCAGGCTCTCTTTAGGGCAGGATTCAACCATTCCTGAAGCTCTCAAGGATTTGTCTGATGTATTCAGTGGTAGCATAGGAACTGAGACCTCAATGTTGTTTGCTTTTGGAGACAGTGTCTTATGTATCCCACACTAGCCTAGAGTTTCCTAAATGTAGCGAAGAATGAGGAGTTCCCGAGCCTCCTGCCTCCCCGTCGCACAGTCTGGCATGACAGATTGCTGATGCTTTTACCTGTACAGTGCTGGATGTCTTTAGGCACATTTGCAGGAATCAATTGCACTCCTACATCCTATATAGCAATTACTGCGTGTTCTGTAAGAGGACCCACCATCATCTGGCCCAGCTTTTGCTGCTCAGGCTCTGAAATCCAGGGACTGGCCCTAGAGTGGAACCACTAATAGGTTCTTAGAAGAATGAAGTTAGAAACACTCTTAGAGCCCAGCCCCTTTCAGCCCCAACTAAGTACATGGGAAAATTACTGCCGGCTCTCTCCCTTGGGTTCCCCCAACCCACCTTCAGGTTCGGGGAAATGCAGGTGTGACTGATGGGGGTGAAGTGGCCAAGGCCCAGAAAGCAGCTCCTGGAGGAGCAGCGCCAACCATCTTCTCCCGGATTTTGGACCGAAGCCTCCCAGCTGACATTCTATATGAAGATCAGCAGGTGAAAGTCCCCACAGGGCCCAGCTCTCTTGAGAATTTCACAGGTGCCCTTGGGTCTAATGAAGTAACAGTGATCTCTCACCTGTCACGGCTTCCAGTGTCTGGTGTTCCGTGACGTGGCTCCTCAGGCTCCTGTGCATTTCCTGGTCATTCCTAAGAAGCCCATTCCTCGAATTAGCCAGGCTGAAGAAGAAGACCAGCAGGTGGGGAGAACAGGGCCAGGGGCCTGTCTGGGGGGAGCCCCGGATTAAGCTAGAGGTTTGACTCCTGTGAAGGGAGCTACCCCCTGTCCCTCTCCCTATAGCTTCTAGGACATTTACTCCTTGTGGCCAAGAAGATGGCAAAGGCAGAGGGTCTGAAAGATGGATATCGACTTGGTGAGTGGTTTTTGTCCTTTGGCCTTCTCCCCTCGAATCCCCATTTCTCAAGGTGATCTTTAGTCCTTGACGTCTCCCATGACCCCAATCCCTGGCGGCAAACTCATTCCAGTGGTCAACGATGGGAAGATGGGCGCGCAGTCCGTGTATCACCTGCACATTCACGTCCTCGGAGGCCGACAGCTGCAGTGGCCGCCTGGCTGAACCTGCCAGCTGACCCAGGACCACAGACCTGGATGCTTGGGTGGAGAAAAGGGAAAGAAATCCTGTGACATTAATAAACCATTCTCCCTTGATTTTGCATTCCTGTCTTAACTGTGTAACAGATTTGTACCACAAAAGAAAATTGATTCGGGGCTGTGATCTCTCTTGACCAGGGTCAGGATAAAAGATCCTATGGCTCAAGCAGTGGATAAAGGAGCACATAGTGCAGCTCTGCTAGTTTCTAGTGGTTCATTCTCGGTCAAATCCCTAGAAAAAATAAATAAATAGCAGTAGAAATTTGCCTGGACGACAAGACAGAGACCTGCCTATTGTCCTGTAATTCCTTCAATTTCGCTGTTATCTCCATATTTGTGTGCTGAGGATGGAGCCCAGGACCTCGGGTATACTGGACAACAAGTACTCCTACCACTGAACTGCATCCTTAAATTGTTAAATAAAATTAAAAAAAAAAAAAAGAACTTCACTCTCTCTCTCTCTTGGTTCATTAGGGAATGAACCATGAACAAAGCAAACGAGTTCATACCGATGTCCATCCTGTTCTTGTCGCCAATGCATCCCCGTAAGTCACCTTAGTCACAAGGAATCAAGTTGGCCATGGAGGCGAGGGTTCACGCTAGTGGAACTTTAAAAGCCCTGGTGAGGCCGAATGTAGCTGAGACAATCGCAAAGCACCAAGTCTAAGACTTCCGCCCCTGGAAAGAGTTTGTTTTCTCCTGCCCTGCCCGGCCACCTCGGGTCAGCCCAGCTCTAGTTGTGCGCAGTCTCCTAGAGTTGTTTGCCGTCTCTATGGCAACCCGGTAAGCCGGCCTCTGAAAATGGAGACGACCGAGTCTACTGAGGAATCTCCTCCGCTGCCGTAAGAGCCACCGCTGTGAGAACAAGGAAGGTCAACTGACTAACTTTGCAACGATTATGACAACCTCGATTGTATTTCTTTCAGATCTTCAGATGTACAGCCCAGCTCCGAAGGACTGGAGAGCACTTCCGATCTCATTCCTTCTTCGGGTGGCAGTCCTAGGTCGGCCCTAGTGGCCGTAACTGCACCATCTGTATTATGTGCAGAGCATCGTGGGCAGTATTCTTTGCTCACAGAGCCTTCTTCCGACAGTCTTCTCGAGGTTCCCTGCCCTGGGTCCCATCAGATAGGCCATGGGACGTTTGGCTACCAGCCCCTCTATGTTTCTTACATTCCTCGGAATGTTCCTGCTTCTTCTTATCCTGGAAGGAGCTCTGTTCACAGCTCTGGTCCTTGCTCTGGCTCAGGCTCTGGTCTTGGCCAGAGTTCTGATGCTGGCAAGGACACTGCTCCTACCTATAAGCCTAGGCCTGCCCCTGTACCAGCTCTTGCCCCTGGGCCTGAACCTGGCCCTGCTGACTCTGGACCTGGTCACAAGGTCAGCTCCAGCATTCCTCAAGGAGGCCTCCCACCAGTTCAGTTGCCTAATAGTAGCACATGGTATCAGTTCTGCTACTGTGTACCACACCGGCAACCCTGGGAACCTCTGCAAGTCTCAGAGCCTGGAGTAAGGGGGCCATTGAAACCCCCAGAGGCTGAAGAGAAATCTGAGTTTCTTTGTAAAACACTGCCGCGTGGCCGGTGCCTCCTTCACAACTGGGAGGAAGAGGTATGACGGTTTGGCCTGCTCCTGTTTTCTGAAGACGGGCCCCAGTTTCCTAGAGAAGCTGATAGTTTGTGATGAGGGCCAGCAGGGGAAGGGGGCTCATGGTCATTTAACATGTGGTCCACAGAGAGCCACCAACCAGTTGGATGAGGTTCCAAGATTGCAAGACGGCTCTGAGAGTTACTTCTTCCGACACGGACACCAGGGACTGCTGAGCATGCAACTTCACTCAGCCATGCCTGGCAGCACCACCCAGAAAGACTCATACCAGCCCCCCAGAAAGATCTGCCAGCCACTTCGAGGTGTGAAGCATGAGTGATGGGGCTGGAAAGAGTCCAGGAGGCAGAAAAGAGGCAGGACTGTGGACCCTTTGGCGGCTCTAAGGGCAAACCCCAAGATTTCCCTTCTCAACTCTGTTTCTGAAGCTGCTTCTTAACCAGACTACTCTTCTGCCCTCCCACAGGAAAGCGGGAAGCTATGCTGGAGATGCTCCTGCACCACCAGATCTGGTGAGAGCCTGGGAAGGGGGAAAGGGAGGGCAAGGTGGAAGGGAAAACTGGGACTGGCCTTGACCTCTCAGAGGGCTACCTAGTAAAGAGGCACAGGCAGAACAAGACCCTCCCAGGAAGCTCTTTGAGGCGGAGTCAGTAACACACCACGACTACACAGCAAAGATGGTCCAAACAGGGCCTCCGGCCCCTATAAAGGTGAGAACCCAACTCACCTTACTTGGGAAAACAGAAAACCCAGAGGTTGACCGAGAGCCCCAAAGACCAGGAGTTACTCAATATCTCTTCCCTCACAGCCTCATGATTACCGCCAAGAACAGCCTGAAACGTTCTGGAAGCAGAGAGCACCACAGCTACCGGTGTGTGGGTGTGACTAGGTGCTGGGTGGGGGAGAGAGGCTCTTCTGTTCTGGCTTGGGGAAGGGTGGCATCTGTCCTCATCCTAACACTCCTCCAGGGTGTCAGTAACATCAGGACACTGGACACACCATTCCGGAAGAACTGCAGCTTCTCAACACCAGTGCCTTTGTCTCTGGGACATCCTTTGCCTTACGAACTTGAGAATTTCCCCCACCAAATGGGTGCAATGTCTTCCCTTGCCTGCCAGGGAGAAGGGCAGGGGTGTGGAGGGTCGAGGACAACTCCAGCCTAAGGGTTGAGGAGGGAAGTGGATGGGGAATTCGGATTCTCCTATTGTTTATACTACAAGTAGGTGTGGGTGGAGTTACTTCTCTGTGCTTGGTGAGGGTTTCCCATAAAGCATTCTCCTCCTGAAGCTGCTGACTCGTTGAATCTGTGAGTAACCGTGCCCACACCAGTACTCTTCCTTTAGGATGGCTTGGACCCCAGACAAAGACACCAGGATTTGTTGTTGTTGTTTTATACTTGGACAAAATATTCTGGTCTAGATACAGATATTTACAAGAAGCCAGGGAGGGGGCAGGTATATGTACAAGCTGAGCTGCAGTGGGCAATGACTTCCATATATGGTAGAATTCTGGGTTTTTTTTTCTGTTTGTTTTTGTTTTTTGTCTGTCTGTGTGTGTGTATGTGTGTGTGTTTTCCATCTCATATGACAATGTCTGTTTTTGTTGTATGGAGAGACGGTGGTCATTGTCCAAAGTACCAGCAGCAGGAGATTGTCTGGCTTGGGGTTTACAGGAGGCCAGGAGGTCCTTTTCGCTCCCCTAAGAGCCAATACGTTCGCATTTTTCCTTTTCCCTGGAGGCAGAGAAATAAGCATAGTTGAGATTCTTCTGTGTTGGTGCCTTTAATCTCCCTTTCTTCTCCCACATCCACCCTCCCATGATCCATTCCCCCATGTCCTGCGGTCACCTTCATCTCCACATCCCCACGCAGCTCTAGCTGGAAGCATCCTAGCTCATCCAAGGCATCCTTGGTGGTCGAGGAGACATGGATCTTTAGAGCTGGGGTGGTGTGGACCAGGAATGGATGGAGAAAGAGGAGTCAAAGAAAAAAGGCAAGAGAAAAAAATGGCACAGGCGGAAAGGTGCCTTACCCAGCCAGCCACCCTCCCAATGCACACTTATGAGAGGCAATATATGCCCAAGGGCAGGGCACCTAAGAACTCTCCAGCTCTGAGAGACGTGAAGAACTCCAGAAAGGAGAAAGGAGCAAGACAGATCCAGGTCAGGGGTGGAGGGAAAGGCTGATGTCCTCACCTTGACCATTAGACTCCATCCGAGAAGCAGTGTTAACTGTGTCTCCAAAAAGACAGTACCGGGGCATCTTCAGACCAACAACCCCAGCACAGACTGGCCCTATGAAAACAAGCTGGTTGGGAGAGACCTGGACAAGTAGACCCTAGGGCTGGGTGAGAATCAGCCTTACCAGTATGAACACCTATACGTAACCTCAGCTGGTCATGGGGTCGGTGGCGGATGCGGAAGGAAGACACTGCATCTAATAATGCTAGGGCCATGCGAGCAATTTCTGGTGCATGGCGCTGACCATTTCGGCCTGGAAGGCCAGATACCACCATGTAGGCATCCCCAATGGTTTCCACCTGATTTAGAGGGAAAATTAAAAGGTCATCTGTAGGTTCAGTAGTTAGAACTCTGGCTACTCTTCCAGAGGACCTGAGTTTAGTTCCCGGCACACCCATAGCAGTTCAAATCCCCTGTAACAGTTTCAGGACTATGACATCTTCTTCTGGCCTCCCTGGGCAACTGCACACACGTGGAATATATTCACAAAGATGCACAAAGATAAGTGAAATAATAAAACTTTTTTTTATTATTATTTGTTTTCAGAGACAGGTTTCTCTGTAGCTTTTGGAACCTATCCTGACCTTGCTCTGTAGACCAGGCTGATTTCAAACCTGTCTCTGCCTCCCAAGTATTGGAATTAAAGGCACGTGCCATCACCACCCAGCAATAAAACTTTTTAAGAGATTATCTCTAGCTATGTTGATGGGAGTGAGACAGGGAGATAAGATGGACTTGGCCAGGAGTCACCCTGACAGCCTGGGAGGCCATGATTGGCCAGATTGACTAGGAGCTACTGCCGTGGTCCTGAGGATCTGTGGATAAGAGGAAGTCAGTTGGGGAATACTTAACTCCTCCTTGCTACCCCCAGGACCTGATAAACACTCAGGGGCATCTGCTGAACAAATGGCAGGAGTGGGATCCTAATCCAAAGAACCCAAAGGCTCAAAGAAGGTAAACCAGGCTCAGTAACGAACCAGGCAGCCTGTCTGTCAGAGGGAAGAAGTAGCCACTTGACTTTGATAACTGTACCAAACTTAGGGTGCACAGTGAAGCTTGCAGGGAGCCCACACTAAGTATTTAGGGATAGAGGGGTACTAAAACTTCCTCTCAAACGGTTCACATAATAATTAGATGAGTTTTTTAAAAATAAAAGAGGACCTGGAATGGTGCCAAGTAGCAGACTAGATTAGCATGGGGAAAGCTGTGGGTTTGGTTCACAAATACTCCAGGGAGGGGGAGACACCTAAAATAAATAGGAGGAAGTAAAAGCAATTGATGAATTTGTGAAAAGGGTTTGCAGCCGTTTTGTTAGGAAAACATCAGAGAAAGTAGAGTAAGCTTTTAATATCCTCATTTATGTTTAGATATCGTCTCACTGGGTAGCCAGGGCTGACCTTAAATTTGTGATCCATCTCTCCCAGCCTCCTAAATACTGAGATGACAAGCGGGTATCACCACACCCAGCACTTTTATCTGCCAGACTCAACGCTAGGCACTTTTAAGACCTACTTCTCACATTTACTTTTGTGTGCATGTGCACACACACAAAGAAGTCAGAAGACAACCTATGGGAGTCAGTTCTCTCCTTCCATCACATAAATTCCAGGGATGGAACCTAAGTCATCAGACTTGGCACCTTTACCCACTGAGCCGTCTCACCAGCCCGTTGGCTTTCATACACCTAATCTATTGCTGCAACAACCGGGGCGCAGAGAAACCCTGATACCTGTCTAAGGCCACATAATTCTCTAGAAAATCAGTTTCAAACCCAGTACATTTTTACTTCCAAGGACAATTAAGTCAACTCAACGACTTTAACAAAGAGCTGTATAACATGTATTTGTGTCCTGCCCCTCACCCCACAGTCAATCCGTGCCCACATTCTGGCAGGTATCTGTATTAATGCCCCAGAGAGAGAGGAACTAAAGCATGCTTTGATTAGGGAACCCTGAGAATCACAGGTGTCAGATCCGAGTGTCCTTGTTTGCCGGAATCAAATCCACTAAAGAGCACCAGGATGCGGGAAACTTGGGGAGCATTGACTGTGGAGTGGCTATGGTATGGGGGGGTTAGGAAACCGGCTCCAGCTCTCACCTTGTAGACATCAAAGTTGTCGATTATGGCATCAAAGCAGGTATAAAGGTCATTAAGAAGTGTCACCACCTAACAGGATGGGAAAGCAGAGGCTCTGAATTGTGTGTCCACGTTCCTAATCGTCCTCTAGCAGAAGGATAAAAGCGCTCTAGAGCCGACTAGTCCAGTGGGGCGCCCAGTCCCCTCCCCCGTTCTCCCCCAGCTCTCACCTGCATAGGCGTGCTCTCCGCCGACAGCGCTGTGAAGCCCACGATGTCGCTGAAGTAGATGGTAACACTGTCAAAAGCCTCTGCCTGGACAGTCTCTCCCCGTTTTAACTGCTCTGCCACGGAACTAGGAAACACGGGGGCACCTTCAGCCCAGCTTCAGGCAGGGAGAAGGACAGGGTGTGTGGCTGCAGCCCAGCCAGGCTGCAGTGTGAAAGCTGGCTTTGGTGGATGGAAAGGAAAGGGGCTGAGAAGACGCCGCCTGGTGCACAGTAGGGCGCACAAGCGGTGGGGAGCTGTGAGGGGACCCACGTGGGGCTAAGCGGTTCCAGCTGGACTTGTTCTGTGCACACTTGCTGAGACAAGGGCGAGGAAGAACAGGACCCTAAGAAGGAGGGATGGGGAGCAGAACGAGGCTGCACAGCTCCTTTGAAGACACAGGCGGGAGAGCATTCAGCCTGCAGCCAGGAGGGCTCACTCTGGCAAGAGGCAGCATTGTAGGGGTCCCAGGATCGCAAAAGAGTTCTCAGGAGGTGGATGAGGCAGAACCCAAGGAAGTTTTGGAAAGGGGGAAAAAGCTCTTACTGGGGTAGGATTTGGTAGAGCAGAGCCTCAGCTTTGCGCTTCTCCTCTAGGTATGCCTGTGTGCGCTCCTCCACCAGCTTCTCCAGGTTATTGGCATACTGCTCCATGCGCAGCAAAAGGTTGTCCAAAATGCTCGTACCTCCCTCCCTGCAGGGAGGCCAGGGTATGACACCTGCTCTGAGGTCCTCAAGACCAGCAGGACTTCCGGTTCAACCCACCCTCGGGATCCACCAGCCTCGTCCACTAAGCATGATAAGGGTTCTGTCCCTGGGAGCCTCCGCGCCACTCACTTGTTAAACCGACGAATGAAGCCCTTGATTTGCCCGAAGTCTGGACGTTCTGCTGGGTCCTGGGCCCAGCATCTCTCCATCAACAAAACTAACTCTTCATTCAGTTGTGTCCGGTCAATGCTTGGCCGAAAATATGGCCTCTGACCATTTCGAACCTTCTGGACAATCTCTGAGGGTGACAAAAAATTTGGATGAAGAACAAGATTCCCCTAGCCAGAGAGGGTGTAAATAGAAACTGATTCTTTTTTTTTTTTTTTTTCAAGACAGGGTTTCTCTATAGCTTTGTAGCATGCTCTGGAATTAGCTCGTATAGACCAGGCTGGCTTCGAACTCACAGAGATCTGCCTGCTTCTGCCTCCCAAGTACTGGGATTAAAGGCATGAGCCACCACTGCCCAGCTAGCAGCGGATTCTTACCTTTGGGACTGAGATCCAGGCCTTCCAAGTAGAAAGGCCCACTGCGGAGTGCTATTTCCTGTAGGATGATGGCAAAGCTGTAGACATCTGCCTTCTGCATGCCTGTGGTTGGCAAGGAGTTCCCACTAAGCAGTTCGGGGGCAGTCCACAGCTTCTCTGCAAAGAGTAAACAGACTGGCTAGTTTGCCTAAACAGGGCTCCTGGGTTCCACCTGGGCTCACTCCCATGTTGCTGCTACTGGTCTACCTCTCCCAGCCTCCCTTGGGGGTATCCTGGGGTTACTGCTACTGGTCTACCTCTCCCAGCCTCCCTTGGGGGTATCCTGGGGTTACTGCTACTGGTCTACCTCTCCCAGCCTCCCCTGGAGGAAATGATCAAGGCCTGGAGAGCAATATGGAAGGTAGGTGGTGGGGGAGGGGTGGGGAAGGGGAGTGATGATGCAGGGAGCAGGCTCACTGGCATAGAGGGCATGGCTGTCGTCAGGTTCAGCAGTTGATCGGAAGCTAGCCAGACCGTAATCTGTTATTTTGAGCACAAAACGACTATCCACCACACAGTTGGAGGACTTGAGACTTCCATGAGATGAGATAATGCTGTTGTGGAGAAAGGCCATACCCTACAGGATACAGAGGAAGTGTCTGGACCATGTGTGGCTTAGGCCACCCCAGTCCGTGAGATGGTCCAGCTAACTGCATAAAGATATTCAGACCACTAACCAAAACTCATTAGAAATGGAAGGATCTTGAGATAGTAAAAGCAAGCTGAGTTGAGATGATGTCCCTCAAGGAAGACGGAGGAATGGGGAGTCACCCCTTCCTAGGACAGTAAATAGCATCTAGGTGCTCGGGCTCAAGGGAAGGGGATAAGGAGAACCCCAATTGTTTCCCTGGAAATGGCAATCTTCTGAAGAGTGACGGGAACGGCCGAAACTAGGATGGCGCGTAGGGTGGCTTCACGTGCCCAGCAACTGATTAGGGAGACACAGCATAACTCTGACCTAGCCTCCAGAGGCGCCACAGCACACCGGCCGGCTGGGAGTCTAGTCTACAGCTTTGTGTAGGAAGCAGGTTGTGGTGGAGGAGGAATGTGATCTGTTAGAGGAATGCTAGACCAGACAGTAGCAAAGAAGGCAGTAAATCAGCAAAATCGGAAAAGTAGACAGAGGAGGGAAACAACCGCCAAACCAAGGCAGAAGCATGGCTTCCTGGAGGCAGACATTTGCCCCCAGGAATTCAAAGGCCGGTCTTGGGGGACAGGACAGTGCTTCCCCAGACAGAAGCTCTGGGAGCCCACCCTAGGAATAGAAGGCTCGGCATGGTGACCTGAGTCCATGTAAACGGTAGGCTCTGGCCTCGAACTCTTCCTCTGTAGTCCTCTCAGTACCAAGACACCTTTAGGCATCCTAAGCTGCTGAGTTTCCTGCTGTGGAAACTGCAAAGGAGTCACTTCTCCTCTGTTTATCGTCACATCTCCAGCTGAAAACTACATTGCTTTACCTGATATTTCTCTCTCACTAGATGGCAAGCTTTCGTGTGCATAAATCAATTTAAAAAAAAAAAACTTTCTGAGAATTTAGGATCAGAACCAGAGTCAGGTACATACAGGTGGGTGATCTCACTAGTGGGCATATGGGTTCTGAAACCTGCTTCTCAACACCTGTCTAACCCATGCAAGATTCGGTCATATGTGAGCCTCTGGGTCATAACTGAGCATCGGAATGAAAACAAAGAGTTAGTACAATTTTTCTTCCATCTCTCCAAGTTTAACATCCATATATATTTTTTATAATTTCAGTCTCTAAACAGGTGTAGTGTTATGCACCTATGTTAGCATTTGGGAAGTAGAAAACAGAAGAGTCAGAAACTCAAAGCAATTTCTGTCTGTGTAAGTTTGAAGCCAGACTGGGCAACATGAAACCCTGTCTCAAAAAGATTTCAAGCCAGGAGTGTTGTTACACACAGTTAATCCCAGCACATAGGAGACGGAGGCAGGCAGATCTCTGAGTTCAAGGTCAGTCTGTTCTACAGATCGAGTTCCAGGTTAGCCAAGACTACACAGCAACATCCAGTCCCCCCCCAAAAAAATCAGTTAAATTTAGATATGTTAGTTAAAGAATAGACATGCTTTAGCAGTTAAAGAATAGACAGTCAAATATTGGTCAAAGCGTGAAATAAGAAGGGTTTGAAGACCTCATCGTCCTTTTACGGCTCAAGGAATTTGGTTCTGTTCGGGTTTTTTTTGTTTGTTTGTTTGTTTTTTGTTTTTGTTTTTGTTTTTTTGTTTTTTTGAGACAGGGTTTCTCTGTGGTTTTGGAGCCTGTCCTGGAACTAGCTCTTGTAGACCAGGCTGGTCTCGAACTCACAGAGATTTGTTTGTTTGTTTGTTTTTTGTTTTTGTTTTTGTTTTTTTGTTTTTTTGAGACAGGGTTTCTCTGTGGTTTTGGAGCCTGTCCTGGAACTAGCTCTTGTAGACCAGGCTGGTCTCGAACTCACAGAGATCCGCCTGCCTCTGCCTCCCAAGTGCTGGGATTAAAGGCGTGCGCCACCATCGCCCGGCTCTGTTCGTTTTATTTTGAGACAGATTCTCATGATGATGTTCAGGCTGCTCTTGAACTCCCAATCCTCCTGTCTCAGTGAGTACTGGGATTATAGGTATGCATTGCCTGCACCCAGATGAGGGATGTCTTTTTATCGTTTTGTTTGCCTATTTTCTTTTTCTGGAGAGGATCTTATTCTGTGGCCCAAGCTGGCCTGAAACTCACTATGAAGCCTTGGCTGGGCCCAAAATCACAGCATTCCTCCTGCTTCAACCTCCCATACGATGGCATGCCCAACTATAGCTAAGGGGTTTTAATATCACCCCTTTGAGGTAGAAGAGACACTGGGGAAACATTTAAGATACCTGGGACAGGAAGACAAGAGCCCTCTCTGGGTATGGGACTACTGTGATAGATCCAAACTCCCCCAACTGCAGCCCAGAACCCCTGTTTACCCATTGTCACTCAACCACACATAGGGAACATGGAGAAAGCATGAGTGCCCAAGGCCTAGGAGAGGAACTGAGCACAGACTGAGCAATGGAGGCATTTTTAGTGGGCGAGGGCAGAAGAGCTGGAGAAGACTCACCTTCACAAGATCATTAATGAGTGAATAGCGAAACATCCAGTCCAAATTGATGCTGTCATTTTCTAGAATGTCCTGGCAAGTGACATGGAAGAGATCAGTATCTGTCTTAAGTCTCACTGGCTATCACTAGGCACAATGTGACTCGGGGACCTCCCCACCCCACCACAATCTCCTACACCTGCCCCTCACTTGTAAGCTCCCGCGAGGACAATACTCCGTGACAATGCAAATGTTGGGAGGGTCTATGCAGGCCCCGATGAAGCGAGTGAGATGGTTGAACTGGACGTCTCTCATCTGGCGGAAACGAGAAGGAAAGAACTGATGGCGCTGAAACATAGAGAAGCACACCGCTTCGAGCCGTGACCTCTCTCCTACTCACACCTATAACTGGGAACCCGTGATGAACAAGCCTCTTACCCTCTTAGCCATTTCCTCTTCCCTATGGACCCTCCCTTTCCACTCATACCCAGTTACGTACGTGCTTGAGTTCAAACAGAACCTGCCGGGTCAGCTCTATGCGCTTCTTATTCACGTGTTTGATGGCAACGACGTTTCCCTGAGGTGGGGGTGGAAAGAGAAAAAGGAATGAGCATCAGGAGTGTCGCACTGAGAGCATCCACGAGCTCGGCTGGGTGTAGAGAGGGGACAATGGGAGGCCAGAGGTTCAGGGGCAGAGGTGGCAGATGGGCATGAGACACAATGAAATGGTTGGGAACCAGAAGAAGCAGATGACTGTTCACCTTGAAGTGACCGGTGTTGGCAAAGATCTGGTATTTCCCATGGGCTGTCATGAGCGAGCCGTAACTGGATCCCCGCTGGGGCCAAGGGCAACATGGAGGCGGAAGGATGAAAGGAACATTAGATGGTGGTGGTAGTGCAAGTGGCTGTCGTTACAAGCCAATGTGCTGGGGAAGGTCCAGGGTAAGAGAGAACAGGGAACAGGAACTCAGAGGAAGGAAAGCCAGGGACTCACCAGCGACAGTGTTAGGCGGCTGCCTGCACCTTTATGGTAGCGGTCCGAGTTGCCGAACTGTAGCTCTTCCCAGCGAATGCGCCACAGCATGCTAGCCAGCTCCTTCTCCAGCATCAGTTTCCTGTAAGAACCGCACAGCTCAGTTGGCTGCCAAGCCCTGTCCTGCCACCCACAAAGCTGCAAGGGAGCTATAACTGTTACTACGGAAGAGTCAGGACTGGGACAGGAGGAAGCACGCGCCACACGCTGGTGAGTGCTCATGCACACTCAGTGTAGAGGGAAATGGTTTGGTTTGGTGTTGAGAAAGGGTCCAGGTAGGCATCAAACCCATGATGCTCTTCCTTCCTCAGCCTTCCAAAGGCTGGGATTACAGATGTGTACCACCACACACAGCTGTCGCTCTCTCTCTCTCTCTCTCTCTCTCTCTCTCTCTCTCTCTCTCCTCTTATGTCCTCTGCCTCTCCTCTCTCTTCAGGAGAGAGGTCTTCTTCTTCCAGGGTAGGAGTCAAACCTATGGCCTTGAGCATGCTAGGCAAAAGAGTTTTACCATAGAGCAGCTCCATCCCCACCCAACCTGTATAAACTGGGGCTTCCAGTCTTCCACCATGTGAAGACACAGTGAAACACTACTTTCCACCCTCACCACACAGAAAATGTGTTGGTGACTTGGTCATGGATTTCCCAAATATCCAGAACTGAGCAATGTTTTGTCGCATATTAGCAGGAGTGGGGTGGGAAAAGGAGCCAGGGACAGTCAGTGCATAGGAATTCATCTTTGATCCTAACTCTACTCAAAATCAGTACTCAAGGGCTGGAGAGGTGACCAAGTGGTTAGGAGTACCTGCCACTCTTACAGACCCAAGTTCAATTCCAAGCACCCATCCTGGGTAGTTTATAACCACCTGTAACTCAGAGTTCTGGGGTTCTGATGGCCTCTGGCCTCTACAGGCATGTGGCATCCAGTCATATAGACATACAGGAGATATATAAATAAAAATAGCTTAAAAATCAGTATTCATAGTTGGGCTAGGTGAAAGATGCCTTTAATCCCAGCACTTGAAAGGCCAAGGTAGGCAAATCTCTGAGAGTTTCAAGGCCAGCTTGCTCTACGTGATGAGTTCCAGATCAGCTAGGGCTCAACATGAGACCCTGTCTCAAACAAACAAACAAAAACATTCAGTATTCAAATAATGCACTACGGCACACATCTGTAATCCCAGCACTCAGGAGGCCAAGGGAGAAGGACCTTCAGTTTGAGGCCAGCCTGGGCTACTTGGCAAGACTTTGTCTCAGAAAAGCTGTTAGTCTACCCAGGCTACAGACAAAAGCAAAATAAACATCTACGAAGGACAACCCATGAAGAGGCTGGAGAGGAAGGTGCTAGACCCGCACCAGGTTATGAGATTTGCCACTCCCGCCCCACATAGCAGGGAACCTTGACCTTAGCCAGAGGCAGAAGGAGGTGAAGAGTAGGAAAACCTCAGACTCACCGGAAAATTAGGAAACTGGAAACACCAAACATGATGAAGGTGATTCCTGTGCCCAGCGCCACAATCGCCAGAGTGGAAAGGGGGGCTGAAGGAGGAAAGAGAGAGACCCTGAGAAAGACTGGAAAGGGCCGAGGGGGAGGAGACATGGGTGCAAGGGGTGCACAGCTTTCTCAAGGGAAAGAAGGAAGGAGAGAGAGCCGCAAAGATAGAATATAGCTAGGCGTGGGAGTGGGTGTCAGTGGAGGCAGAGCGCAGGGGTTGGGTAAAAGGGGGGGACTGCTCCCAGTCCCTGCACACACCCACTTTTATCACAGGATGGGTCGTCCAAGTCAAAGGCACAGGGGGGATTGTCCAAAGGTGGGGCCCCCTTCACCCAGGGAATAGGCCGGCCTGTCCACCAGATCTGCTTCTCGGCTCCTGAGTAGTGGGCTGCGGGCTGTGAGGAAGCAGAGCACTGGGCCCACAGGCCTGCCCCCAGCCTCCTCCCTGAGACTCCCACCATGACTCGGGTCTAGCAGGGGGAGTAAGCTCTTGCCCCAGTACCACTGATTATGTCCCCACTGGATTTTAGGGCCACTTTCTTTCTCTTCCCTGTCCTCTCCCCGTCACCTGGAAGTCCCCAGAATCCAAGTCTCCCATGGCCCACAGGACAAAATCAGTCTCGCGGTCATTGTTCTTGTCCATAACAACCAGCCCAGTTACACCTAAGATTAAAAAAAAAAAAATGCCCCTCACTTGAGATCTTCCTCTGGTCCCCTCGCCCACCTCCTGCCGCCCCAATCTCGCTGTCTGAGTCTCTCCCGCACCATGGTTCTGTCCCTGCAGTCCCTGGTGTCTCCCCTCCTGTATACTTCACCCCTCAGCCTGGTGTCAGCCCTCAGGCCTCGATTAGCCCCTCTTCATTACCATGGTATCTTCGCCCCTGCATCTTCTCCACAATCCGAAGTCCGTCTTCCCGAGTGCCTCCTTCCTGTATTGTCTCATTCAGGACTTGGGCATAGAGCAGGATCCCATCATAGAAACAGCCGGCAATGAGGTTCATCTGCGGGAAAGCAAGCTCAGCACACTCTCCAAATGTCCTGTGAGGCCCCACCCCAGTCCCCTTTCCCACCCCTGCAGTGTCCTTCTGCCTCTCCACTTTCCCAGCATCCCTCTCTCCTCCTTTCAACCCTATGGTGCCATCTTTATCCACCCGGCCCTGGGGAGCAAAGGTAATACCCTGGATGGAAGAGAGAGCCCAAAGTGGGGCTTGCTCTATGATCCAGTGTGATGAATTTCTCACAGCCTGCTCTGACTCTCAGAGATCTACTCACCAGGGATGGGGCCAGCTCCACACCAAAGTCTTCCCGGGCTCTGATCAGCAAGCGATTCTGGAATTCCTGATACTCAGGATTTGGGGGCTCTCGATATGTGATCACCAGTACAGTCTGCACCACGGCACATGGGAAGAATGAATGGGATTCAAATTGAGCGTGAGAGAAAGAAACCATTCTAGGAAAACTTGGCAAAACACACATAAAACATGCACAGGGGAGTCTGGCGGCTGAAATGGACTAAACTGGGGGGGGGGGCTGGAGGGGAGTGGCTCCCCTGTATGAGAGACTGATAGGCTGGTCCCAGAGAGGTGGATGGCATCAGAATGAAACCAACTCCATCCACAAACTCAGCCCATCAGCTTCCTTGCCTCCCTTCCATCATCAGGCCTCCTGCCAGGTTACCACACTCACGGGAACTCCTTTGTCCCTACTTTCTGGGTGCCCCTTTGATGCCAGCCCTCAGAAAGCAAAGGCAGCTGGTTCTCCGTGAGTTCAAGGCCAGCCTGATCTACAACGCGAGTTCCAGGACAGCCAGGAATACACAGAGAAACCCTGTCTCGAAAACAAAAACAACAAAACAATAACAACAACCTGACTTTTCCATATTGGGTCACTGGTACACAGTGACTTCTCTCAGTAAATTAGATTTCAAGCCCGGTGAGAAATACTTTTGAGACAAGGATTCCATCTGTGAAAACCACGAATTTAATTGGCTGCATAGAGGAAACACCTAGCAGACACAGCAGGCTCATTAAGAAGCAGGTATATGCTTCATAAGTTACACGCCCACACAGGTTGCACAGATAAGCAACTGATGCATGTGGTCTCAGCCACGTGCTCATTTTACTAACATGAATCAACGCATCTCCGTCCCTTGTCAAACTGCCTGCCTAGCTCCTCTGAGCCTCATATATCCCCTCTTCTCCAGCTGCAAGACTGCTCAGCCTTGGACCACACAACCAAATGAGACTGCGCAGACAGGAAACTGGTCTTATGACTTCAGAGAAAGATGTCGGTTCACTATATTTTGTGAAATACGACCACGTGGAGTGACAGGTTAAAACCTAGCCATTTCAAGATAGGCATGGCAGCTCACATCTGTAATCCCAGCACTCAAGAGGCTGAGGCAGAAAGATAGCTGTAAGATCAAGGCCAGCCTTGTCTACATAGTGAGTTCCAGGCCAAAGGGGGCGGCTACATAACAAGACCCCATTTCATAAAACAACATCAAAATCAGAACAAAAATCTGGCTATTTCTACCAGCTTTGTTTATTCTCATCACAGGAAGGACATGTAGACCATACAGACAATGGATGTATCACATGAGAGCTACAGGCATCAATTTGCTCCAGGTGGGAAATAATGAAGTCAGAGTCGGTTTCTACTGTGCATTCGTTATGTTACATTAGAGTTTTCTTACTGGGGAATTCAGATGCTGACTGTGTACTTTCAGCATTCACTCTCGGGCAGGAAAAGGAAAGGATGAGGGGGAAAGAGGGACAGGAGAAAGGGAGGAGGGAAGCTGGGTGGGGAGACAGGAAGTGCTACTCAGCGGCAGGCTGGAGGGTTCGTTCATTGACACCTGTTCCAAAAATAGAGATGTGGTCAAGCTGACGAATAGCAGTCAGGAAGAGAGTTGGAAAAGATGGGAGAGCACAATCCATACTTCGATAAAGGCTGATGAGAGGTTTTTAACTCTTTCTGGACTCTAACTCTCCGGGTTGGCGATTTCCCCCTAAGTTGGCTGTAATCAAATTTCTTGCCATGGGTTACACACTCCTATAATCCCAGCACTCTAGAGTCTAAGGCAGAAGGATGGAAAGTTCAAGGACAATTTGGATTCCAAGGCGGACCCTATCTTAAACAAAAACAAGATGTTTTAAAAATCTATGAGTCCCTCTTCACTTGTGTGTGTGTGTGCGCACGCGCGCGCACCTAATGTGGGTGCTGGGAACTGAACTTGAGTCCCCTGAAAGAACAGTGGCTGCTCTTAACTGCCAAGCCATCTCTCCAGCTCTTGCTTTGTTATCTTTTGGCTTTGTTTTGTTGTTGGCCTCAAACTCCAGATCCTCCTGCTTCAGACCCAGGGTGCTGGGATTACAAGCCTGCCGCTAGTCTCTTCTCCTCTTGAAACTTACTGAGGACCCCAAAGAAATTTTATATCTATCAATAGTTACCAAATTAGAAGTTAAAATTAAAGCTGAGCTTGGTAAATTATGAAAACACAAGAATGCACAAGCGTGTTTTCCATGGCTGTCAGAGCGGTGACCTCACCCACATTGTGCAGCCTCTAGAAAAAAAAAAAACACTGCAAAATCACAGGAGAATAGTGACAACGGCAAATAACATCTTGACAGTATTTCAAAATAATTTCCACTTCACAGCCCCCCTAAAAGGATTTCTGGGGCCCCAGGATCCAAAGGCCACACTTAGAAAATGGCTATTCAAGAATGTTTTGCTGTGGTTACTAACTAGCTACTAAAAAAAAAAAGAAAACAAACCCCAAACAAAAACAACTCCAAACACTTTCTGTACTTACTGAGGGACTAAAAGGAAGGCAAAGGTAGCTAATTGAGTCCCACTAATTCACAGTGGCCCCCAAGTGGAAAACTAAACAAGCAACGCTGCCAAAAATAAGGAGTTCAATGGGGGGCGAGCCAAGAGTGCACCACCCACCTTGAGTCAGGCTCTGGGCACAGCAGAAAGTGATGCCAGTCATGGGCAGAAGAAACCACGAATAGTCTCCAGAAAGGGGCACTGCCTTCCATAGCTTTGGCCTTAGCACTTTCTTCCATTCTAGTTGCTCTCAGATAGGATCTCACCAGGTAGCCCAGGCTGGCCTCAGAAGCTCAACAACCTCCCTGCTTAGTCTCTCATGTGCTGAGATAACAGAGAAGAGTCGCCACACACACCCCTTCCCTCCATTCTTAGCGCCAGCGTTTCCCATTGTGGGCATGCATGGTTCAGGATTTCTAACCCTATACCCTCAGTTGCTCAGCGCAAACCTGAATCCTCCCAACTTGACTGCTTGCTTTATTAAGTTCTACTCTTCCCACTTTGCTTACCTGTCCTGGTTAATTATCGTGGTTTACTTCTAAAATAATCCCTAGGCCTCTTCCCTATTTACATGCTAATTTAACTCAAAACACATGTATTTAGTATCTACTACACGCTAGGCTGAGAGGGTACAAAGATGAACACAACCCCTGCCCCGGAACAGCAATGACTGGATGGGAAAGAAGAACCCCATCAACATTCTTTCGATCAGCTCTTTCCCTCCCCTCGGTGACTGACATCCAGACTGCACTGGCACCTTTGCCTTGGTGTTTCAGCTGCTTACAAAGGCTCCAAATGTCTACAGTCAAGGACTCTTGCCTTATTCCCCATCTTAGGGTTGGCCTGGTCTGAGACCCAAGTGGACCAGCATCTCTGGAGAAAGGGCTCACTGCTCTTTGTTGTTGGCCAGAGCTGACCACTGACCGCCATGCTGCCCTCCCCTCTGTCAGTCAGTCCTGGCTATGGACAAGAGAAGTTTTCCTGAAATTCCTCACTCTCCCCCACACACACTAGCCTTGCTCTCCCTTCAGCTCATTCTTCAGTGTCCGTTTCCTTTATCTTAAGTCATAGCGAAAATCTTCCTCTTTTTCCCCGTCTTGTACGAGGTCTTCAGTGAGGGGAGTAACCAAGAATTAACTGATGTAGCTGACTCGACCTTCCCCCCCACTCTTAAGTACTGGGGTCTCTTGGCTGCTGCGAATTCTCCTGTGAGGAGGAGGTTTTTCTCTCCCACAAAGGCTCACCCAGGGATGTGGATGTAGTGCAGTGGTAGGGGTACTTGTCTAGTGAGCACAAGGCCCTAGGTTGAACCCTGGAACTTAAAGAAAAACAAAGCAAAACAGACATTTTTTTCAGTCCCTTTTCTCCTCGTACCACGCAACTGTTTTCCTTCTGGGAACCCTTATCGCCAATGAATAAGCTTGTTTCTTGTCTGTCTCGCCTACTAACTATAAACTCCAGTAAGACAGAGAGTGCTTCTAGCATGTTCTGTAGGGCATACCAGTCAGGTGACAGCGAATAGTAACAATGAGTCGATCTCTAAAGGACTCAAACCTGAACTAAATGATGTTGGTTGGCAGACTAAGAAACTCGGCTCAACCTGGGATTTAGGAATAGTTTCTTAGAAGGTCAAAGACTGCTCTGAGTCTTACAGAACATGGAATTGCTGTACAGACACAGGTGAGATCCTTGTCTTCGGAAAAAGTTACAACATAAACCAAACCCGTCCTATCACTGCCCATGTTCAAGTATGAGAGTCAGAGACTCAGGCAGGCATGCAAACAGATACGTCATTCACAGCCAGACATGCTCACCAGTCACAACCAAATATATAATCACAGCCACATAAAACCTTACTCACCGGAGAAGAATGGCCACCCAGGCCCGGCCCTGGTACACTCTCCTTAGACCCAAAGAATCCCAGAGTGGAAAGGATCCTAAGGTCATTCCATAAGCCACCTCAAATACTCTTTGAGGGCTATGGATAAATAAATAGGGAACACTTCCATACACAAATCAGTAAAAACTGGTGAGGAACCAGACAGAGAGTCATGGGCATGATCTCAGGAGGTTCAGAATGGGGAAAGAAGAAATAAAACAGGCAGACAGAAGGAGCAAAGTGCAGGAGGCAGGAGGATGGGGGCCTGGGCAGGCAGGGGTTAGTCAGGAGGACTTCTCAGCGTCAAAAGCCCCACTGAAACGACAGGCAGAAAGCTAACTACCAAGTCTTGCACGTCACAGTAAGGAGTTGGGATTTTATTCTGTAGGGAGCAGGATGTTGAAAGCTTGGGGGCGAGGTGGGGAACGCACAGTAACACCGACTTCCTCTGGGAGTTCCTTTGTAAATTAATTTCTTTCCATTCTTCCTAGCATGTCCTCATTCAAGCCGGATCTCCTCATTCCTTGACAACCTACAGTCTGTCTTCTAACGGAACCTGAACTATGTTCTACTCTACTGCCATACAAAAACTCAAATCCTAGTCCTTAACATTCAAAGTCCCTTTAATCTATGTCTTTGTCACCTGATTTCCGAGACGTGCTTAAGTCAATGCTTTTTAAAGCTCATGCCTGTGATCCCAGTACTTGGAAGGCTGGCGCTAACAATTCAAGGCAGAAGTGGGACCCTGTCTCAAAAACCTTTTTATTTTAAAGGTGAACCCTCATTTCTTACGAGGTCAAAGATATACAAATTCCTGTCTTTCCCTTGCACGGGCTTTTGAAGCCCTGTCCCGCCACTCTGTGAATATGGTATCTGCCCTGAAAATTACAACCGTCTAATTTCCTTTACAAAAGCCTCTCCTTATCCCAGCCATGTCTACCCTTCCTCCCTAACCACTGACTCTCAAGATGGGCTTCAAGCACAAGTTTGTCTCCTTTTGCCACTTACTCTGCTGTAATTTCACCTTGCCTGTCCCATGAGGATGGCAGCCCTTTCTGGGACAAGGCACAGATCTTTTTCTTCCTGCCTCCTAGCTTCCTGCTGGCACTCAGGAAAGCACCCTAAGGTCTGGCCGTGGCCAAACTCAGTCTTGGCAAGCACATTAAGTAACAGTGTACAAATCGGGGGAAGGAAGAGTGACACCAGGCATAGAAACTTTCTGGTCACTTCTCTTCCATAGCTCACAAGCCCTGCCCTGTTCCTGGGGCTTCCGTAGGGCGCTATGAGAAACAGACCTTCCAACCAACCAGTGGCTCTTCCCATCTCTAGCTTGGGTTCCAAAGATACCTGAAAGGCCTCTCTGAGGGCCTGGGCCTGTTCCTGGGTTCGATTGTCCTGCCATGGCTGGCCTGTTGCACGAGTGGGGCCTGCTCGGAGACTCTCCCCAAAGACATCGAGATAAAAGAAGACATAGTCCCCATTGGTCAGGTTCTCCCTCTGGGCCTGAAGCAGGATCTCATGCAGCATCTCCAGAGGGCCGCAGATGTATACAACTGGGAGAGGACATGACAGAAGGGCACCCTGAGACAGCATCCAGGTCCCCCGCCAGCCCCTCTCTGGAACATCACCCCATTACCTATCGACCACCCAACAGATGTTCCCACCCTCCCCCTCCGAGCTCATGTCTAAGTGCCCTTGGGCCACATGGACCATCTGGCAAAAGTCAGAGCCCGACTCCAGCGTGATGGCTCCCCCCCCCCCCCCCCCCCCCCCCCCCCCCCCCCGCCCCCCCCCCCCCCCCCCCCCCCCCCCCCCCCCCCCCCCCCGACTCCAGAGTGATGGCTACCCCCCCACTCCAGAGTGATGGCTCCTTCCCCCCAGAGCTGTTTGACCCACCTCATAGCTCCCCATGTTCCTCTCCTGCCTGCCTCTCGCTAGGAGCACAGGCTCTTGTGCTCACTATTTTTGTGTGAGCTTTACCGGCTTTCCCAACCAAATCTGCTGAGCACCAAACCGATAGAGTCATCCCTATGTTACACGGAGTCTCTGCTCACGGGCAGGTGCACATTTCAGGGTAGACACCGCCCATATCCACTACTCAAAGCCACCCACACTGCCTCCCCAAACTCTTCACTCCCAAGTCCCAGTCTCAGTTTCCCTGACCTGTGCCTATGATACAAAGGCCCTGTGTCCTAACCCAGGCCCTACCGCGGATGCCTGTTCTCATAAGCACCTCCATCCCAACCATCACATGTGACTTTTCCATGCCAATCTCTCTCTACTTTTCTGTGCTGTGCTCCAAGGACACAGTGGCCCTCCTCCCCAGTTCCTAAAACAGTCCGGGCCACACTTACTGCGCCCGTTGGCTCTGATGAAGTGGGTGGCTTGCTCAGGGCCACCTGGCTCTCGGGCATACACCTGGTGCTGCACACTGAGGTTGCTGCCTTGCAGGGCCTCAAAGACACCCTCGATGGTGAAGTAGTGGGGCCGGTCATCTGTCCGAGCATCCAGATACAGCAAGGCAGCCCGAGCAGTCCAATTGAAGTGCCCGTGTAATGTCACTACGAACTCACCCAGCTTGGGAGCAGAGGGGCCAGTGCGAACCAAGGTACGATAATGCTCATTCTTAGCTGCAAAACCAGAGGCCACTGCACCCGCAGTCAGGAGGGGAAGGTGCCAGTGTGAGGCAAAGCGAGCCACAGAGGCAGCAGGGTACACACACCCGGGGCCCAACAGAAGGTCGGGGTCATGGTACAGCTTGAGGTCCACAGCGCGCAGCGGTGCCAGGTACTCAGAGCAGGCGCCGTCTAGTTCGGAGCTGACAAACCGCAGGTCCACGGGCAGTGCCCGGCCCAGTGCCTCCACAGCCAGTGCCACAGCAGGACCCACCCGTGGCCAGGCCCAGGCATAGCTCAGGTTATGTTCTGGCAGCACCACCGCCAGCGTCAGGTTCCGCGCCCCCGGAGGACGCACCCCACCTGCCAGGGCTGCCACCACCAGCAGCAGTGATGGCAGTGCCATGGGGATAGCGCAGCTGACCCACGGCCCCCCGAACCAGGGGCCGCTCTGGCCTACTGGGCAGGCACAAGCACCACCCAGCCTGGAGCCTGGGGAAGAGGACCAGGAAGAGAACTGGGACAAGCTTAGTCGGCCCGGATACAGAAAGTGCTGGGGACCACGCAAGAAGGGGATGGGGGGAAGCCTGGGTCGGGAAGGAGTGGGCTACCAACCTACGGCAAGGACCAAGGACTAAGGATAGGGTGGCAGAAGGAGGAAGGGACCAAGGGGGCCTGCGACCGGGATGAGGACAGTGAGGGGTGAAGTGGCCTGATAATCCCAAACCGAGAAAGGGGGGATCTAAGACTGGGATGGGGTGGGGACTTGGGGGAGGCTGGTACAAAGAAACGGCCTGGGGGCACCTCACAGCTGACCGGGCCGGGAGGGCAAAGAGCTGCGAAAAGCCGGAGCCCCGGGCTGAGGTGGGAGGGCGCCCGCCGCGGAAGGACTGGGACATGGGCAGGCAGGGAGCGAAGCGAGGCCTGGGCCGGAGGGGAGGGAAAGGCAGGGGTGACTCTCCCAGTGACGGCTTCTCCCGAAGCTCCTGCCTGGACTAACGGGCCCGGGCGCTGGTCCCATCCGGAGCTGCGGCGGCCCCGCCCGTGTGTACCCCGCTCCTCTCGGCTCCGCTTCTCCCGGGCCCGGTGGCCCGCGCTGCCCGGCGCTGCCTCCCGCCCCCCGCCTAGGCCCCCGCGCGCGCCGCTCGTCCAGGTCAGGTCGCCTCGGCCCGGCGCGTCTTCGCTCGCTGCGCCCGCGGCGGCGGCCGAGTGTGACTTCCCCGGCAGGCCGCCCGACCCCGCCCCTCCCCCTCCCCTCCCCTCTCCTCCCCCCTCCCCGCCCGGCCCGGCCCCACCCTCCGGCGGCGGCTGCCTCCCCCTCACCCCTGCATGTCGCCCAGGGACCTCCCAGTCCCCAAACCACCCGGTGAGAGCCCGGGGGGGGGGGGGCTTAGCACCGGGGCCTCTAGGCCACCGAGGTTCCCGGGAGTCCCCACGCTGTAAAGGCCTTCCTCTGCTTTCCCCAAGTCCCTTGTCCACAGGGCTGCTTCCAACTCACTCATGCCAAGGACCCCTGGGCCTGTCTTCTCCCAGGCCGGCTAGATGCCTCGCTTTTCTTAGGGTCCATTTGCTCAATCAAATTTCCCCAGACGCGCCAGTCTCCAGGAAGCTGTCAGGAATCCCCAAACATTGGGTATCCATTTATCTATTTCTAGGTAGGGAAAACTCTACCCATCTCCTAAGTGCTGAGGACCGCTTCCTCGGGCAGCTGGAAGACAGGCCCCCATGGTACCAAAGGACTCCGTTCTTTATGAAGGACTCCAGTCTTTATGAAGTCCGCTAGTCTTCCTCTCCCTGAGGACTCAACTCTCCCCTCTGTTTCTGTCTCCCTGGCCGATCTTATGCTTCTTGGATCCACCAGCCATCTGTTCCAGGGCCTTGTCCCTTTTGTCTCGTTGAGCCACACTTCACGGGAGCTTATAGATTGGCTAAGCCCAACAGGCCCCAGCAATGAAAGGTCACTGGACCCCACCTTGGTTCCCACCCCATTCCTAAGATTCCTAACAAGAAAGTTCTTCCAGGTACCTCACATCTGGCTGGAGTGCTGACCCCATCTGGAGGAACAGCTTGTGAGGGATGACATCATTGCTGAGGGGACTGCTATGGGACCTTGGGGAGTTCTCAAATTGTCGTAAAGGACACGCACATAAACACATCCCCCCTGGTGCTGACAGCCAGCTTCTCTCCCCCTTGAAGCCGCTTCTCCAGAATTCACTGTGCCAAGAAGCTAAAAGCTCCCCAGCAGAGAGGGAGTGAATGCAGGCTGAGGAGCCACACTCTTTCTCTGAGATGAAGGCGACACCTAGTGGCTTGGGTAGAAATTAAGGACCGAGTCATTTTATTCAAAGGCAGCGCGAAGGAAGCTAATTGTTTCCGCCCTTACCTCTGAGGAGCAAACAGCTGAAAACCCTGGTCCACAGAGTGAACACCAAGGCGATAGAAGAACTCTTGTTCCAGGCTGCCAGCACCGTTGGCGTAAAGGAATCATGTTCTATCTGGACAAGAAAAGACATGAATCTCAGGCCTGTCATCTCAGGACTGGGAGGACTGAGGAGAATGACTATGAATTTGAGTAGCTACACAGTGCATTCAGAGACAGCCTGAGCAAGAACATGTCTCCAAGAAAATGGCTCTAAACTCTCTTATTTGTGTTTTATTTATTTACTTGTTTATTTAGAAACAGGGTGCCAATGCATAGCTAAGGCTGCTCTCCAACTCTTAATGCTCCTGCCTCGGTCTCCTAAATGCTGGTGTGACATGTGTGTACCACAATGCCTATTCTTTTTAACTCCAGACCAGCAAACCGAATCATTGTTCTCACGAGAGAAGGTTAAACATGCCACAACTTTGACAAGTCACAGAACGCCAGAAGTAGAAATAACCGAAAGGAGACATGCCACACAGAAGCCCTCCCCTCCCCTCTGATCCCAAAAGACTTTCAGTGGTGAAACAGAAACTGGAACCCTGTTCCCTGCTTCCCAAGGTGAGGCTCTTAGCAGAAATTCTGCTGATTCCTGGGCTCACAGTGTCATGGCCACCAAGTTCCAGACAGTCCTTCGGGGATGACATCTGCAAATCCCAGTGAGGAACAGCCACCACAGTTACCCAGAAAGGCCAAGCACAGATGACATGGCGTTACTCTCAGTACTTAGGACAAGACGTTATCTTAAGGGTTAAACATTCAAGCATCATAGAGAATAATCCCTCTTTCTTCCTTCCAATTGGCTGTGTATACTAGACAGTTAAAGGAGTCAGACATAAAAGTTAAATGATTGACTGGGATTTTTAAGTTTATTTATTTATTGTGTACACAATGTGCTGTGTTTTCTCAGGTGTGTACATGTATGTGTGCATACAAAACAAAACAAAAGTACAGAGGTCCACACCCAGTGTCCTCCTCTGTCCCTCTCATTGAATATGATGCTCACAAACAGCTAGACTTGCTGCCTAGCGACTGAAACCCTCCTCCTGTTCCCACCCCAGAGCTAGAATCACAGGCACACAACCACACACTGCCAGCTTTTACCCCTGGGGAGCACTGACACAAAAGTCTCACCCAAAATATACTATTAGAGTTTCTATTCTACACCACTTCAAATTCTGCTTTCTTCACAAGTCTTTCCCTGAGAAGAAGTGGTAAGGGCCAAGGGGAAGGTGTCTCCTCACATCGAACCCTGCTAGGTTTGCAAACGGCCCACAGGGCAAGAAGCAAAGGAAACAGTAGCTCCCAGGGAATGGAGATGTATTCCTCGATATTTTAACCTTCTGCTTTACTTAGCACGTCCTAGAGAAGCCAAAGACGCTGTATAGGAAGAGAAATTGGGGGAAAATTAGACAAAACTACTCTCTTGCCTGGGCTGCAATATTTCCTGAGAAACAAGAGGCGCTAAGGGTGACAACGAGGGATTGGCTGACGACAGAGTGAGAGGAAGGCCAGTTGAAAGAGTCCAAGAAGGAACACCTAAGGATGATGGCGGTGTATGACAGACACACAGGGCAGGAGGAGCACTGTGAGGGTCAGGCAGCCTGGCCTGCACAGTGAGGCTACACAGCAAGACCCCGTCACTAACAAACAAAGCCAAAGCTGATGTAGACAACAAGATAGGATTAGCCAGAAACAAACTTGAAGAAAGAAACAACAGGCTCTGCAGAGAATTAAATTTGTAAAACGAAAATAAAGGAGACAAAGATCACTATAGGCAGGGGCTCTAAAGCGAGGGTGGGCAGGAAGCTTCCAGGGAGGGAGGGGGCCAGGACAGTACCGCAATACAAGAAGCTTGGCTCCATCTAAAGGCCAGCCACCACCATCTGACAGGGTCTCCAGTTTTGACTCCCTTCTATCTAGCCTCTGCAGTGTGCCCAGATGCCAAAGCAATCTTTGAAGCAAAAAACTAATTATGCCAATTCCCTGCTTAAAATTCTTCCATGGTTCCCCAAGGAAGTTGTCTTTCAGACTGTTGTTATTAGCAGCAAAACCCTGCCTTTAAATGAAGAAAAAAAGAAAAACAAACAAACAGAACATAAATAACGAAATAAGCAAGTCCAAGAGCTCCGGATGGGGCAGTGCTGGTCCAAGGGCCCCGGACCCCATATCGTTACAGCCTTCTCAGACTAGGACTCTCAAGCACTCCAGGAACTTTTGTAAAGAAAGACGGTAGAGAAAGCTTTGCCAAAGCGTATACAGAGACGGTCTTAAGAAGCCCCTTTCCAGAGTGTCTGTATTCTTCCCCAGAATGATCTGAATTCACACCATCCTCACCACACCTTCAAAGAAAAGAGAAGAAAAAGGAGAAGGAGGAGGAGGAGGAAGAGGAGGGAGAGGGAGAAGGAGAAGGAGGAGGAGGAGGAGGAGGAGGAGGAGGAGGAGAAGAAGAAGAAGAAGAAGAAGAAGAAGAAGAAGAAGAAGAAGAAGAAGAAGAAGAAGAAGAAGAAGAAGAAGAAGAAGAAGAAGAAGAAGNGAGAAGAAGAAGAAGAAGAAGAAGAAGAAGAAGAAGAAGAAGAAGAAGAAGAAGAAGAAGAAGAAGAAGAAGAAGAAGAAGAAGAAGAAGAAGTGATGAGATGCCCTGGGGTGTGATGACACATAATCCCAGCACTCAGGCCACTAAAGAGGAAGGGTCATGGCAAGTGCAAGGCTAGATTGCTCTACTAATAAGTTCCAGGACAACACCATCACCACTCCCAAAACAGAGAAAAGAGAAGAAGAAAAACATCCTCAAACTCACAGAGCTCTGACTGCCTCTGCTCCCAGAGTTCTGGGACTAAAGAATTGTGCCACCATGTCCTTCCCTAATTCTATGTTTTACTTTAAAAGTTTAAGTGTAGCGGGGCACAGTGGTGTTCACCTTTAATCCCAGTACTGGGGAGGCAGCAGGTGGATTGCAGGGTACCTCTGTGAGTTCAAGAACTGCCTG